TATATATATATATATATATATATATATATAGTAACAGGTCACATGGTTCAATGTAACCAATAAGCTGATAGCTGATTGTGTGCTTCGTTTATTTTCAAAGACTAAATCAATTTCGTTTTCATTCCTTGCTTTACTAGTTACGAACGCAGAATAATTTACTTTGGTTACAACTGTTGATAACTTATTAATCTCTCAACTCAACGTTTTGTTAAAGTTTTACCCGGAAAAAAAGAAAGAAAATACATTAAGTCTTTGACGATACCAGTCTAAGAAGATTCCAGATTGTCTTTGAAGTCTAATATTTTTATTCCAAGACTTCAGTTGTAGCAGATCTACTGCTATTCAGGTATTTTTATTTTTATGTTTTAATATACGATTAATTACGTTTTGTAGATAAACTGGTGAATTTTTTTATGTAAAATTCACATTAAAGCGTAAAGAGAGTTTTAGGCAGAGGTTCTGATAAGTTTGAAGGGAAGTTAACGCTATAATTCTTTAAATATATAATTTCGAGATAAAGAAATGATATTAAAATAATAGTAATTTACGTGTGATAATTAAACATACAATAATATGTGTGTGTGTGTATGTGTCTTTCAATCACCAAGAAAAGAGAACCCTCCCCCACCAGTGGTACAGCGGTAAGTTTGCAGTCTTACGACACTAAAAATAAGGTTTCGTAGAGTATTGATAACCCGTTGACTACACAGGATAAAAGCCTTGATCTTCTTCCTACAATTCAGTTGAAGTGTGATGAATGGCAAGTGTGAAGGCACCTGAAATTGACCTTTCTGAGAGAGATATCAAGGTACGAAATTTAACTAGTTTGAAAAAACAAAATCTGTAGTGTTGAACCGTATCGGTAAAGCAAGGGAGAAAGGCAGCTACTCCACGACCGGCTACTAATTTCATGCAGAAGGAATTTAAACAGCTTGTCACTGGAAGTAACACAAAAAGGCAGCGGTCCAGTTGTATCTAAAGTAGATCGATGCAGTGGTTATGGACTGCAGTTTTGCTCCTGATCTAACTCACCGCTATCTGATCTTCCATGAAAACCTTTTGTTGTAGTACTGTATTGAATGTTCTAAGCCTGTATGTTACAGGAGCTATGTTGATGGCAGTGTATATTATAGGAGCTATGTTGATGACAGTGTATATTATAGGAGCTATGTTGATGACAGTGTATATCATAGTAGCTCTGTTGATGACAGTGTATATTATAGGAGCTATGTTGATGACAGTGTATATTATAGGAGCTATGTTGATGACAGTGTATATTATAGGAGCTATGTTGATGACAGTGTATATTACTGGAGCTCTGTTGATGACAGTGTATATTACAGGAGCTATGTTGATGACAGCGTATATTACTGGAGCTATGTTGATGACAGTGTATATTACTGGAGCTATGTTGATGACAGTGTATAGTACTGGAGCTATGTTGATGACAGTGTATATTACAGTAGCTATGTTGATGACAGTGTATATTACAGGAGCTATGTTGATGATAGTGTATATTATAGGAGCTATGTTGATGACAGTGTATATTACAGTAGCTATGTTGATGACAGTGTATATTACAGTAGCTATGTTGATGACAGTGTATATTACAGTAGCTATGTTGATGACAGTGTATATTACAGGAGCTATGTTGATGACAGTGTATATTACAGTAGCTATGTTGATGACAGTGTATATTACAGGAGCTATGTTGATGACAGTGTATATTATAGGAGCTATGTTGATGACAGTGTATATTACAGTAGCTATGTTGATGACAGTGTATATTACAGTAGCTATGTTGATGACAGTCTGTTGTTATTTTAGTCATATTCTACTTAGGCAATACTTCTTACACGATTAAGAATAAAATTAAGAAAATTATCAAACATCTATATCCACAACTTCAGTCAATATGTGTCGTTAAAACAGAATCTAGGTTTAAAAAGTTAAGTACAAAAGTTTAAATACAACACCGATTGAATACCTCGCTATTGGTATATGATTTCACGTGTCCGAAATGCACCCTGGGATATATTGGATCAACCACTAGCAAACCTCCAGTCGTAGAAAGAAACGCCGTAATTCTAAAACCTACAACACCAGTAACATTATCCATCTACCTCCAGTTTCTTCCCCATCATTCTCCATCAACGGGAATATTTCTAGAATGCTAGAATCTCTTGCCATTAAACTAACAAAACCACTCTTAACCAGAAAAACATCTTCAAGCGTGAAAGAATAGAGCATGAACTTCGATCGTTCAATATAACGTGGATTAAAAACTTTGAAACTGCTAAAGCAGGAAATATTTTGTGAAACCTTCAACATTTGTTATTTAATTTCCCAACACGAAACACTTGTCTTATCTTTTATAGAACTCTGCTCAACGTATAGAGATCACAGTTCCTCAAATAACACAAATAACAATATAAATCATAGCTAATAGTTTTACTAACTTTATATCTTATAAAGTAACCATATTCATTTTCCAGGAACAAAAGATACGAAGGATATAGTCCCTTGGAAACATGCACAAATCACCCAGTCACCCTTGTATATATAGATACAGGTATGTATATGTATTATTGTTTCTTCATTTGTATATCAGTGTATTATATATATATATATAAAGTACAATTTCCTCTTCAGGTTAAAAATATTCGCCCTAATTATACATAGTTACCTGACTTCATTTTTATATCTTTTCATGCCATTCTGTTATTAAGATATATTTTAGGTCAAATAAGAAGGAAATGCATTGTGGTAATATTTTTGTTTGATTTAATTTCCAAACCTTTGCAGCCGTCTACCTGTGGGAGAACAGATACAGAAAAGAAGAACCTATACTTCCAGAAATGTCTCTCCCTTTCTCTCTATGTGTGTATGTATATATATATATATATGTTCATCTTAAATGCTATCAAACTTACTCCCATTTAAGAAGTCACAACGAACTTGACCTATATTCCGAATCTATGGATATTTTATGTTTTTCGAGAGATGTTTTTCTAGATCAAGGCAAGGAGGAATAAGACGTTCGAAAAAGAGACGAACACGTGAAGTTCTCGTGTGAATTTAGGCGTCCACGATGGCCTCCAAATATAGTTGTGTTTCCAGATGTTGATTTTGTTTTTCATCACACTTGAATCCTCTTGACTAACCAGTTTAATGAGGTCTACTTGTTGAATTGCTACCGTATAAAAGGAGATACGATAGAGAAAGTATTTAGTGGTTCACTGATCGCCCACTCTAGCTACTTGTATCTTCTGAAGGCTCTCACTATGATTCGCTGGGTAAGTAGAAAACTATTTAGAAAGTGTGATGATGATTATTTTTTACCGTATTCTGAAGCCTAAGTAGGATCCATACTCTGTAAATTGTTATACGTCTGTCCGTGTACAGATAGGCTATAGCAAGTCGAAATTGGAAATATATGGTTATCTCCGAATTATTACGTTTGACTACAGCAGTTATGTCATGCAATTTTCGTTTTAATTCTGAATAAGTTTCAATTTTTTTTCTGTATTAATGTAACTTTGATAATTCTGTAATAAACTGTTTTTATTTTACAGACTTTTATTATTGGAAATTGCAAAAAAATATTAATGTTACGCAGCTGAAATATCCTACGATTATAAGGAAATGAACATGCTACATCGAATGCCCCAGTTTCTGATTTGATGAACGTAACTCTATTTTATAAGCTATCTTGTCATTAAATGTTATTATCTGTGAAGTTGCCTCCATAAGTTTTCTTTCTTTTGCAGATCGTGCTTATATCCTTATGTGTGGCCGCTTTGGCACAGTACAGATATGACGCATCTGCAGGTGCTCAGAAGGAGCAAGATCCGGAAGTCATCATCCGAATTCAGGAGCAACAAAAGCGAGCTTTAATTGCCAGGCAGCAACAGCAAACCCAAGCCATCTTGGAAGCACAGCGGTATGATGAGAATCGCCCCCGTAACTATCATCCCCCAGCTCCCGTTCACTTTGTTAAAGTTGGTGATAAGCTTGAGGGTGACTACGACTTTGGCTATGATACCGGAACAGGACCTTCTGGACAGAGCTTTCGCAAGGAAGTTCGTCTTCCTGATGGTACAGTAAAGGGAGCCTACGGCTATGTCGACTCTGATGGGAAACAGAGAATTGTTAAATACTTCGCTGGAAAGGGTGGATTCGTTGCTTCTGGCGACGTGGGTCCTGAAGATGTTCCTCAGGGTGTAGCTCCTGGGCCTGCCCCTAAACCACAGCCTCACTATGCTCCCGCTCCTGCCCAGCAATATGCTCCCCCTCCTGCCCCTTCTCAACAATATGCTCCTCCCCCTAGACAATATGCTCCTCCCCCTAGACAATATGCCCCACCTCCTGCCCCAGTCGGAAACGAAAATTCTCTGCGACAACAACCTCAGAAGCCGGTATTCGTCGACACATCTTTATTAAACTATAATATTGGAGTCAGACAGTGATATGTCTTCTTATATAGAATTTATGCAATTTGAGAAATCAGAAATTTTAAAAAAAAGTGAATTGCAGAAAAAATAATAAACAGAATTATCAAAAGCATATCTTGTAGTATTGTAAGCACTCATAAGCTGTATTTGACATCCCTGTATCTAATAGTAGAAATCTCTAGAAAAATTATAATCTTATTGTTTTTGAATGAAAGAATAAACTACTGATGTTTTTATATATATAATCTTTTTTTTTCTCATGCCCACAATATCTCATTTTTTATTTTACGTGATAAACATACTTCGAAATAACATAACTGTTACTATATATTTCTATGTTATTCTAGAAAAAAATATATAGCGATCTGGCATAACAAGGACAAAACTTCCTAACAAACAATATTGCGGTATATCTGCGGACTTACAACGCTAGAAACCGGGTTTCGATACCCGTGGTGGGCAGAACACAGATAGCCCATTGTGTAGCTTTGTGTTTAATTACAAACAATTTTTTTCTTCAAATCACAATGATATAAATTGTTGTAATCAAAAAAGAAAAGAGAAAAAAATAATAGAACGTTTCTGAATACAATTTTGTAAGTTGTTTATTATTTATTATTTATAAATAATAAAAATGAAATATTCACTTTCATTAATTGCAATTTTATTTCAGATAATTCTCTCATAAAGCAGAATATTATTCTTTCTTGACCATTTAAATTACAGAAGTTCTCCAGTGGGTTAGAGACAAGTTTAAGGACTTACAACACTAAATCCGGGGTTTAATTTCCTGTGGTAGGCAGATTGCAGACAGCCTATTGTGTAGCTTTCGGCTAAACCTAACAAGCGTAAATTACGAGGTCGAGCGTGGCCCAGTGACTATTATGCCAGACTGTGGACCTCAGTCTCCATGGTTCTCGCTCTGTTACAACCCAGCCCGGCATGACCAGGTAGTTAGGGCGCTCGACTCGCAATCTAAGGGTCGTGGGTTCGAATCCCCGTCTCACTAAACATGCTCGCCCTTTCTGCCGTGTGGGCGTTATTATGTGATGGTCAATCCCACTATTCGTTGGTAAAAGAGTAGCACAAGAGTTGGCAGTGGATGGTGATGACTAGCTGCCTTCCCTCTAGTCTTTCAGTGCTAAATTAGGGACGGCTAGCGCAGATAGCCCTTGTGTAGCTTTGCGCGAAATCCAAAACAACCCCACAACTGTTACAACCAAAATATAAAAGAAATAAATTCGCGCTTTGCACTTTGGGCTGGGGGATGCGTTTTAAGAGTGACAGTCAAATCCCATTATTCGGTTTGACAACGACAGTCCAAGCGTTGGCGCTGGTTGGTGTTGACTAACTACCTTCCCTCTAGTCCCTCACTTAAAATTTATGAACGGCTAGCGCAGTAAGTAGCTTGGGCAGCTTTTCATGGAATTCAACAAATAACTTTAAATTGCAAATATTTTTCACATGCTTATTCCAAGTTTTTCACTCAAAATATAATACTTTCTGTGGCATAGTGATTAGGTTACATGGCTGTGGATCCGAGAGTTCGTGGTTTGCGTCTCTGCCGCAAAAAATAGAATAAAGTAGCGCTTCGCACTTTGGAGCCCTGCGTGTGTTATATATGCTGCGGTAAAATTCCACTATTTGATTTGAGCAGACCAATAATTGGTGGTGGGTGCTGTTGACTAGCTACTTTCATTCAATCGTATTGTACTTCAAAATTAAAGAAGACTAACTTGTGTAGCCTTACACGAACATCCGAAATTAACAAAACAAATATTTTAGACTATTTATTTCTGATACAATAAATAGTACGTAATTTGCTGCTTTGTCATTTCCGAGTTTTTCCATTAATATCGATAATTGTTTTAATTAAGCTAATATTTCCATCTAGGCTTTCCAAACTATTCCATTTTATCGAACTTTATTCAATTATTGGAGCTGCCTGTTGGCACGTTATGAAGACTATTTCATTCATCAAACTTCAGGGGTTCATAAAAGAGGTTAAGATGATAATTACGTAACTTTATCTAGTTTCACCCGCCCCCGCCCCCCAAAAAAGCTCAAAAATCGACGAAGTAATTTTGTTTTATTCGATTTTTTGTACCTCAACTAATGCATAAGGGTAATATTCATTTTTGCTATGTATCAGGGCCTAGTTTTAAAAAAAATCATGTATTTGAGTCTTGTTTAAAACAATTATTTTGTATACTTTCAAAAGATATTAATGAAAAATAGGCCAGTGTGTTTCAATATACAGTAACTGTCTCATATGTACTAATTACACAGGTCTGCGAATTTAAACTCCATAAAAGTTATTTTGGTTATAATGACGGATTTACCACAATTCAGCTACGTAGATTTCGAAAATAATATTCTTTTTTTTTATCACTTTAGAATTTTTTTACAAATCAGGAAGAAAAAACTCTTACTTGGATCAAATTATTATTTTTTTTACCACAATGAACATTTTTAT